TGAAAAGGTAAAGCCGTAATCTGAAGGTACAAGAAAAAGGTAACAGCGTAATCCGGCGGTACAAGGAAAAGGTAACACCGTAATCTGAAGGTACAAGGAAAAGGTAACACCGTAATCTGAAGGTACATTGAAAAGGTAACACCGTAATCCGAAGGTACAAGGAAAAGATAACAACGTAATCCGAAGGTACAAGGAAAAGGTAAAACCGTAATCTGAAGGTACAAGGAAAAGGGAACACCGTAATCTGAAGATACGTTGAAAAGATAACACCGTAATCTGAAGGTACAATGAAAAGGTAACACCGTAATCCGAAGGTACAAGGAAAAGGTAACGCCGTAATCCAAAGGTACAATAATGCCTTTCAAAAGTGAAAAAAAAGATATTAAGATAAAGGAAAAACTAAGATTTATCGTCAAAATATTTACGTTATTATTTTTTGTAAAAATTGTATTTATTTTATAATCCTTTTTAGAACGTTCGAAATTTTGTTTGAAGTATTTTGTTTCACCAATGTGACTTTTGTACCGTAAATTAGTATGGGCAATTGTTAGCCTCTTTTTCGCGGTGAAAAACACGGTGGTTGACGAATTCCCTGAAAAATCGTATTTTAATAAAACTTTCAAGATCTATTTATAAATAAATTAAATTATTTACGAAACGATTCTTTTAGAAAATATTGATTAAAATATATTTTTACATTTGTAAACCACCCACCTACCTCATATACACACTTATTTAATTTTATGTAATTTCGAAAAATTCTCTTTCATAGCACTTTAAGTTTATAAGTTTATTCTAGTTAGAAGTTATCCAAGAATTTAAATCGTAAATGCTTTCGGTCAGTCCCGGTCCAAATTTTAAAAACAAGGCAGACTATATTTAATTAGAAAAGCCTTTAATTGCTTTTATGTACAAAATATATTAGGAATTTTTTGGCGATGAATATTGAATTTTGACAAGTATTGTTTTCATTTATCTTATTTTAATTAGAATAATTTATAAACTTTTGCAATTCTATATTAATTTTTAATGGTTACGTGATATTGTTATTAAATTAAGACTGTATTTACTAATAATAAATGGAAAAGCTTACTACAATTCAACGAAACCCAGTATTTTAAAAAAAGAATTTTTTAATTTATTTTGTGAATACAAACGTGTCAGTTTTGTAAATACGGACGGATACACACAACATTATCAGAAAATAAAAGCAATAGCTATAGTAAAGTTCAAATTTATTGGTAACTAACCGAGGTACTCTGCCTTGCTCGGGTGTACATGGCTGGAATTGTATAATCGCCCCCACCCAGTGTACCTGCACCCCCTGTCCTCGCTTGTATCCATCATCCGTTGGTAGACTAAGCTACTCCCTTCTCATCTTTTTTACGGTATGTCCTTCGCAAGTGTTGGATTGTTCTTAATAAAAGAGTTCCATCGATATACCTTCTTGTGTGGTCGTTGTTCGGGGTAAAATTATTTCAATGTTTTAGATATTCAGTAAATTTCCTATGGCCAAAATAACTTTCAAATTGTATGGCATTGTTCACAAATCTAATAATCAAACAAAAACAGGGATGAAGCGTCAGAGCTTAATTCAACTGTAAATGCAAACGCATGAACGCCTCCTCCTTCCCACCTTTACGGTAAGGCTGGGGTTAAAAAGAGGTTCTGTGGGAATATTTCCCTTTTAACGCTTCAACAATCCTTTGCATCAAAGGTTGTTCGAATACCAATTTAGGATGGAATCATATGAAGAAACTATTGGCTAAATCACAAAAGCCGATTTTGGAATTAGTTGTCGCAGATTTCGTCCACTTAACTGAAATAATTTAAACCAAACATTCGCACAAGACAATTTGGGTATTATATTTAATTTACATCGCAAATTTGGAAATCATCGGATGAAAAACCAGGATGGGTATTACGTAATTGGTAAGTACTGGTTGGTTATATGTGAGTCTATAAGCGTTTATCTGGCTCGCGGATAGGTAAATATTACGCTTTTATGTACGAGATTGTAAGCATTAACTGCGTTCTGATTAGGTAATTACTGATCGATTATATTTGAGTCTATAAGCGTTTATCTGGCTCGTGGATAGGTAAATATTACGCTTTTATGTACGATATTGTAAACGTTAACTGCGTTCTGATTAGGTAATTACTGATCGATTATATTTGAGTCTATAAGCGTTTATCTGGCTCGTGGATAGGTAAATATTACGCTTTTATGTACGATATTGTAAAAATTAACTGCGTTCTGATTAGGTAATTACTGATCGATTATATTTGAGTCTATAAAGCATTTATCTGGCTCGTGGATAGGTAAATATTACGCTTTTATGTACGAGATTGTAAGCATTAACTGCGTTCTGATTAGGTAATTACTGATCGATTATATTTGAGTCTATAAGCGTTTATCTGGCTCGTGGATAGGTAAATATTACGCTTTTATGTACGAGTTTGTAAGCATTAACTTAGCAGCAGTAGATAAATTTTGGTTCAATTATATATATATATATATATATATATATATTATAGTAATAAGAAAGATTTTTTTTTTACAAAAGAGTGCTCAATGTAATGCAACAGAGCATAAATATTATAAATATTCCGAAATTCGATTGAAGATGAAACAGAACTAATGCTTTTAATTTAATTATATAATTAAATTTGAAGATTTTAGCTTCGAGTTTTGAAACATGGCAATTCCCGTGTAGCAAAGGAAACATATTTTAAATCAGTTAATTTATGATACATACATACATACATATATATATATATATATATATATATATATATGCAGCAATTTTTCATTGATGCATGTTTCATTAACTAATATAGAAAGGTTTTGTCTATTTATTTTAAGTAATTTCCTTTCATATTGTCTGATAAGTTTAATAACATTATCATTGAAAAACAAAATGAAATCACCATATTGATATATGTTTAAATCCAATCTAAGCTTTCGGCTTACATAAGCCATTATCAAAGATGACAATTACATTTCAATATATCAAACAATACACGAACGAAACGATAATGATTGTCTGTTTTTGTTGCATGAAAAATTTCAAAGCAACGACAAACTCGTGTATACGAGACGCGGAAGCGAAAATCGTGTCGGAGCCCCTGACATCACACATGACCACGCGAGAGTGAAAACGAGAAGTATTAAGTATGGGAAGCCAGTGTTATAAATCAATGTCTTCTGTTATCAATTATAGACATTTAAGAATATTTGTGGAGATTTCGTAGTTTCTTTAGTTCAGGTTAGGTTTTATGTATATAGCTTCAAGAATTTTTAATTTTTGTTTATTGATTTCATGTTATAAGTATAGTTGTGTTGTCAACAAGGATTTTCCGGAATTGATTACGCGGCCAGGCATGTTGTTTTAAATGCCTAAAAATGTTAGAGTTATCATTCAAATATAGAGTCAAGCGAAATGAATCAATATATACATACATATATATATATATGCTTGTCATCTTCAAGAAGCGAGATTAGGAACTAAAAGGTCAACCAATCTAATCTCATCTCACAATTCTCACTCTTGCTCCATGGGTGGCCTCCTTTGTAAACCACTAGCGGGTCTTAAATGCCACTTACGATTATCGCACAAAATTTCCTAACTGAATAAATTAAGTTTATCAGATCCTTATACGTCGAAACCGACGGGAGAGTCCATTATATATATATATATATATATATATATATATATATATATATATATAATATTTGATATTTAGTATTTAAATATTGGTCGTTTATATTAATCGTTTACAGATGTAAAATTTTTGAGTTAACAAGCTAATTTGATTGATTGATCAGTTTTTATGATTTATAAACCATTTTGCTGGTTATTTAAAAACCAGGGAGTTATAGCCGAAAAACGGACTTCTTAAACAGTTTTTCGTTGTTTTTCGTTATATAGGGGAAGCGAGCAGGACTAAAACCACATCTTATTTCTTGCTTTCTTTTTTTTTTTTTTATTTCACAGCACATTTTCAGTAACCGGAAGTCCTGTTTTTACCAAAAAAAATGATGATTTGAATTCTCCAGGGAGTTCTGCTTTTAAGTAATATTATTAAAATTCAGTGACCCAAAAAACAATTTCTCGAAATATCTTAAATTTAAATAGCGGTTGGGGAATAATAAATGTTTAAAAAAATATTTTTATTTTCTATACCTTTTCTAAAAAATATCATTTCCCAATTAATTTCATTCATTTTTGAAAAGATCCTGAAAATTTCATTACAATCCGACAATTGTCTGATTTTACAAGAATTTCCAAATCAATGAGGTATTCTTCATCGCAAAGAAAGGCTAAAATTTCCAATACTAATTTATGGCCCCGTCTGGCGTAAGAAAAACAAAAATTTTAACCAAAATTTCGAAGGTTCTAAAAAGAAAAAAATAATAAATTTAATAATCAAAAATCCTTTGATCCTTCCTCTTAATAATAACAAAAGATCTGTGACTATAAGGTTTATTTCTTCATCAGGTATACTAATTTTTAGTGACTCTTTGGAGGTATCATGTCATTCATAGATAGATAGATAGATTGGAACAATTAAATGGCGAGTCTAAAACAAACTGAGACGTACGTTTGACCTCCTCCGCCTAAGTCACGTGATCTGGAAGTCTTGTGGGAAAGCTATAATGAAATCTAAACAACCGAACCGTTTCACCCCACCTCACATTCCCACCTTCCATCCGGCCCACACGTCAATGTTTCCCATTTGCCAAGATACGCTCTGAACGACCACGAAATCGACGACGACGACGCCGTAACCGGCTTGCTTCTAGCTTGCCGCTTTGGCAGAGAAAAATGGTTAAGTTGTGAAATGGTTTTTGAATTACGTTCTACTCTTTCTTTATTTTCTCTTTTATACTTTTTTCTTCTTCTTTTTTTTTGCAAGAAAATTTAAAGAAAAAAGGCAGTGGTGGGGGTTATGATAGGAAAGCAAAAGAGGTGAAGAAATTGCTGCGAAAGGAGAAT